GAGAGGGCCGCGCAGCCCCGAGTCCCCTGCCTCCAACCAGGCCCGTCCCTGACGGAAGTGACAACAGAAAACCACAGGCCACAGCTCACAAGGCCCCGAGGTCCCGCTCGGCACCTCTGTGCCTCCACCACCGTGGCCCACGTGGGCCCCCGGGGGCTGCACTGCCCACAGCTGTCAGCGCCCTCAGCAGCTGACTCTGCACCCACCTTTTTAATTATTAATAAAAACACCAGGAGGCCCTGCCCTGCTGCTCAGAACACAGCGGGGACTGGACTTCCCGCCCGTCCCACGGCCGAGGGGAGAGCTCAGGACCCCTGGCCGCGGCCTTTCCTCGCGCCCAGGCCTTGGCGGATGGAGAGCCCTGTTCCCACATGAGCAGGGATGCGCCCTCAGTCCCCATAGGAACCCGGGGCTACGAGCCGGGGGGGAGGGGGGCCAAGCCGGGGGACGGTCCCCCAGCTCCGGGCCAGCTCCCGAGGCGCACATAGGAGTTTCTATTCGGGTCCACTCTTCCTTCTAACAGCCGCGCTCCCCACCTGCTCGCCGGAGAACACGGCATCGGGGTCCATGCTCCCCCCAAAGCAGTGAGCCGCCTCCGGTGCCTCTGGTTTACCCGCCATCCCTCGCCGAGGGGAAGATGGGGTCGTGGGGCTGAAACAGGGCGGGAGCAGCACAGCAAACTCAGGAATCACGGCCCCACGGGAAGAGGGGGCCCCCCAGGAGGCACACACTCATCACCTCACGGAATCCGCTCTGCAGCCGCCGACTAACCCATTCCACAGGCGGGGACCAGAGAGGGCAAGAAGCAGGCCGGGGGCGCCCAGCGGGGCCCGGAGCCCAGGCTGCCAACCCCAAGGAAGCCGCTGAGCTGGAGGTTTTAGGGTGAACGACTAGGAGTTCACCCCACGAAGACAGTCTCCTGGTTAACGGTGCTCCATAGTGGACCACATCCCGCCCTCCCCTCGTGCTGGTTTCCTCTCCGTCTTAGTCCCTGTGGTGAGAGCACGTGCGCCCAGACACTCCCCCCCCACCCCGTCCTCCTGCCACCAGACCTCCTGGCCCCTCGCCCCTCCCAGCGCC